CCCCGATTTTGGCCCAAACCCCCCAAGGATGGTGCCAGGGGGTGCCCACGTACCCGCCTTGAGCAGGTCAGCCAGGAGGCCGCTCCACTCAGCGCGGAAGGTGTCGGCCCCGGTGAGGCTGCCGTCGCCGCCGATGACGCAGAGGTTGGTGATGCCGCGCTTCACCAGGTTCCGCGCCGCCTTCAGCCGCCCCTCGCGCGTCCGGAAGTCCTGGCAGCGCGCGCTGCCGATGACGGTGCCACCCTGCCGGCACCCGGGGGTCAGGGGAGCTCGCCACCGGGGCAGGGGGAGCTCGGCCGGCCCGCCGTCCTGCTGTCCTGCCAGCTGTCTGTCCTTCCATCCAACGATCCATCCATCCATCTGGCCTTCCATCCGTCCTTCCTTCCATCCTTCCTTCCATCTGTCCTTCCATCCATCCATCCTTCCTTCCTTCTGTCCTTCCTTCCATCTGTTCTTCCATTCATCCATCCGTCCTTCCATCCATCCTTCCTTCTATCTGTCCTTCCTTCCATTCTTCCTTCTATCTGTCCTTCCTTCCATCCATCCCTCCCTCCCTCCCTCCATCCATCCAACCATCTGTCCTTCCATCCATCCATCCTTCCATCTGTCCTTCCATCATCCAACCATCCATCCATCCATCCATCATCCATCCCTCTATCCCTCCATCCATCCATCCACTATCCTTCATCATCTAACCATCCATCCATCCATCCTACCAGCCATCCATCCATCATCCTTCCATCATCCATCCCTCTATCCCTCCATCCATCCATCCATCATCCTTCATCATCCACCCATCCATCCATCCACCCATCCCTCCATCCATCCATTCATCATCCATCATCCACCAACCATCCATCTATCCTTCCTTCCATCCATCCATCCATCCATCCATCCATCACCCACCCACCCCCCCATCCCACCCTCTCCCAGCTCCGGCTCCGGCCGGTTCCGTGCGCGGTGCCGCCTCACCAGCTGCAGCATCATGGACACGCTCTCCCACGTGGCCTCCTGGATGTGATCCCCTCCATCCACCAGCCCCTGGTAGCCCTGGGAAGGGGGGGGACACACACATAAGTTTCCAAAACCCCCCTTCTGGGCTTTTTTGGGACAAAACAGGGGGAAACTGGGAGCAAACTGGGGGAAACTGGGCGGGGGAGCACTGACCTCGTAGACGAAGAAGACCTTGGCACCGGTGTAGATGCCCACCCGCACCACTGCCCGCACGGCCGCGTTCATCCCTGGGGGGGCACCACACCGTCACCCCCGGGACCCCCCTCAGGGACCCCCCAGGGACCCCCCCAAAGCCACCGGGGGCCCCCCTGACCCCCCCAGGGACCCCCCCAAAGCCAAAGGGGCCCCCTGACCCCCCCATCCCCCCCCCGGCCCCGCAGCTGCCGGGTTATTTTTGCCCCGGTGACCTTTAGTGGCGGTGGCAGCGCGTGACACCCGGTGACAAACACCGAGGGGGGGGGGACAGTCGAGTAGAGACCCCCCCCC